ATTGGGAAAGTGAGGCTCGAAAGCATAAATAAATGGAAAAAACTCTTTCCGCGTTACAGAAACACATAAAATATAAAATAGTGCTCTAAGCGTAAAATCCTAAAACTAAAACACAGGTGAAATGAATCAAAATAAAAACTTATGAGTTGGGTTGTGTCATCGTAGTTATTCGTTCATTGGATCTCACCAGTGATGTACTGAAAGTAAATTTTTCAAGGCCTGCGGATAGAATCTGAAAACACACATTTTCCAACAGTGTCAAACATGAAATTGTGCATACTTTTCAAAAGAAGGTGTAGCTTTTCGGGGATCCACAAAAGCAACTGAGATTAGAAAAATTTCTAATTTTGTTGTCTACTCCCTTGGAAAAAAAGTATAAATGCTCAGTACATTTTTTCACATTGCCTTTTAAAAGGAGACCTGCCGGATTTCTGCGGCGTGAATTATGTATTAATCTATGTCATTTATCATCTACACTTCAACCTGAAGGCATCTAAATCTATAGGAATGTAGTAGCAGGGATACCATATATAAAATGAAACACAATTCATAAACATATTTTGAAGTAATATAATAAAAAGAGTATTTTAGTCGCATCTTCAGAAATGTGCTTTGCATTTATAATAATAACTTGCAGATTAAGAAAAAACTGATATTTATACAACATTTAATAAAATAGAATACATCAGAATATATAAGCGAGTAATGACTTTAAAAGAAATTTGAAATAACACAAGATCAGTTCCTAATGGGAGAAGAGCATATGAATGTTCTTATTTATTATGATTACGCTTGCTTTGTGTTATACCTAATAACTAATTATATATTCAATTGAATAAATAGGATAATTTATAAAAGCAATGAATTTCTAGTTTCTTAGAAAGAAAAAAATAAAGGCATGCAATACAATACCACAATCCTTGTATTTATATAATTATAGAATTTGTTGTGTTCAAACAGTGACCAAATAATCTTACTTCCTCATTTATCAATTTGAAATATTTACTCGAATCTATTCATCAGCATATGAATAACTATTTTTTTTACTTCTAAAAAATATATTAAAATATTTCTATAACTCTACTTCTAAATTATATTATTAAGCCACTTAGAGGCCAAACTTGTTTTTTGGCACATTTACATATGGATAAAAATGACATAAGAAATAGTACATTAACACAATAGAAAAATAACTTACGTCAAAAAATGAATACAAACGGAAATAATTAAAATTTACATATTAGAGTATTATGTTTCAAAATTGTGCATTCTTTATAATTGGGAAATGGACTCCTTATTTAAAATAATAATGCAAATTCACACCATGTTAATAGTTTCACATAGCTTTTTCACATTTTTGACAAAAATATTGAATACAAATGGCTGAAAACAATGTTACGAAATTTAAAAGATCCCGCTGGTAAGTAATTCTTGGCAAATAGATTCAAATTAAATTACTTCATCTAGAGATAACACATTTTCACTCAAATTTTATATGTAAATGTGAAAAAAAAGTATCATCTATGAATAGACATTAACGACTATAATTTCAATTTAAAGTCATATAAATATATATATATATATATATATATATATATATATAATGTTCTGGAAGCATGCATAATATGCATTAAATTATTATTCTGCAATTTTTAAACAATTGCAAATAAAACGAACTATAAAACTTAATGTACATTTTTCTATAAAGTATGATTGATTTCATAGTTTTTGTTTTTGTTTATTAGTAACAATTAATTTCACAGTCGAAAAAAAATTGATATTTTTTGATACATTTAATGAAACATAAGAAGCTCTTCAACTCTTGTTCTAGAAATTTGAGTTTATCTAATGAAAGAAGAAAATAGGTTCCATAGTTTTTACAGCCTTTTATTTTTTCAATAAAGGATGAAGTGGCCGAAGAAAAACAAAAGCATCTTCATGTAAAAGTAAATAAAAAAAATTACATAAACTTCGATGGTAAGATGATATCTTCCTTTTTTTCTTTGGATTTGTGTTCCCTTTTTGTTGTTATTTTGCGAATAACATTTGTATTTTTGTATCTTTTATCTTGATGATTAGAGATATTTTGCTACATGTATCAATCGAATAAAATATAACTTCCATTTTGCCGTTGAAATAAAATTGAGAGGTTATAAGCAAACAGAGAAAAATATGGAAAAAAGGAAAAGAAAAATTCCAGGAACCTGATATCAAAGGAAAATAGCATAGAATTTGCTTTTTATCTCAACTATTCACTATGTAATACTTCTTAAAATTTATATACTTATAATTGTGTCTTACTTTCAATAACACGGGACTTTAGTTTAGTGGTTTTTGTTAAAGCTATTCCTTATGAGTTATTATAAATTATAAATAGCGATTCTCTGTTTTACACTATTTACATATTGTTTGCTGCTTTTTACTTCTCTTTTATTCTACAGTTTTTGATATACTAGATTTAACTTTAAAACTCCTACGTATAATATAAAAACCTATTTGACACGGAAGTACATTGGCAATGTATTTTTTGGTAAACGGCCTGGAATTATTCATAAGTCAATAAAATACAATCGACAAAATGTTCCTGCATTTTATTTTTCTTTATTCAAATGCAATGCATATAAAAAATCAATAAATTTCATAAAAACGTAAAATAACAAGATATGTATCATTAGATATTTATGTTTAGTTTAATATTTACTTCTGAAAAAAATCTAATACACAAAATCCTGGAAATCTTCATTAAATTTTCATCTACCATTAATAAATTCAAAATATTATTTAAAAAAAGTTCGTTTTATTCAGAATACATATAAACTTTGAAATGTTTATTTTTCACACTATTATCAGTACTTATTTAACCCGCGATCACTCGCGCGGGGTGTTCTGTACACCCCAGCAACAAGAAAAGCCTCCTACAATTCTAAAAATAATGCGCAGAGCCACGATTTTTTCTGTAGCTGCCCATTTTAGGTCATTGAACCTTCAGACCTGATGTAATCAATCTCGCTAGGACGTTTGGAATGTAATGACCTTCAAAAATTATTTGAGGTGCTGAGAACACCCCGCGAGTGATTGAGTTATATTTTCGTACTCGAAGCATCTACGGAAAAGTACGTTTTACTCTTTCCGTTTACATTTTTTTTTTCAAATATATTAATATGCCCGAATATTTTATTTAAAATTTCAATAAATGCGGTATAAAAATAATATAATTCTATAAAATAATTGTAAAATACAATTTTTTTTAAAAAAATTTCAAAACGTTTACTAGAAATTATGACAAAAACTCCATGGGAAAGGGAGAAATAGCGACTTTGTCGTCTATTAGAAACTGTATCAACAGATTGACAAAATGACTAAGTGAATTCGATAACTGCGTGATTTCGTAACCAAAGTTGGAGAGATGAAACTTGAAATCGTAAATTTTTATAATACAGGTGGTGTTGATACCACTGATGAAATGTGCAGTATATATTATGTATCGCGAATATGTAACCTTTGGCCATTGCGAATATTTTATCATCTACTTAATACTGCAGGAATTAATGCTTCCTTTGTCTATCATTCGGCTCTTCCTGAAAATAAATGAGACTTTCAATATTATTAGAGGAGATTAGAATGGATCTTGTGCAGCCACTGTAGGATATGAGATCGGATTTCCCAAACATTAACAAAACACTCAAAAGAAGCTTTACTGACACAGAATATATTAAAAAGAGCATTAATCCCCCTAAAAAGGGGGTGTTGCACTGCTTGTCCACGGGTAAAAGATGTAAAAATTATTTGTTTTCGTCTTCAATGTAAGAAAAATATGTGCTTAAAGCATATGAATACAGTCTGCTCTGAATGTTTGAAAAATGATTAAAATATTATTTTTCAACTTTTTACTATCCTTATCATTAATCATAAAGTATATTTATTACTGGTATATACGTTTTACTTGTGGTTTATGAAAAAATATAAAATTGTGTACTTCAAAATGAAAATTTTGTAGGTTTAGTTTAAATTAATGCTAGTCTCATTTGAATGCAATAAATTTAATAATTTTGTTTGTATAATACAAAATACCTCTTATACTTCATAAATATATATCATAATTGACTTAAAAATTTTTCTTATTTAAATACGCGTGTTAAGAGAGTTTGGGGTGTTCTCTGCACCCCGCGAGTGACGACGGTGGAAAAACAGGCGCGAGTGACCGCGGGTTAATAATAAATTAATTTTAAGAAGTCGATGTCCTGGATCTGATCGAAACATATGCTTCAAGTTGAATAAAAATGACTGTTATACATAGTAATTTTTCTTTGCTTGATATATTTTTAGACTTCACAAGATCAGCATTAAATACAGATTTCCAGCACTTTGAAAAATTTTCTGTTTGTCATTTTATCTTTTTTTTTTAAATTTTGTAAATGCTTTTTTTATTCTGTTTTATCAATACTGTTCATTTGAATGAGTCCATTCTCTTTTCTTCACCGCTTCTCAAACTGTAGGGCGTGCCCCCCTAGAGGGTTGTGATAACGCGAGAAAGAGGGGGGCGAGCATATTGAAAAGTGGAAGACAAATGATTATTCAAAAAAAAATTATTAATTTTTTGAAAGTAAGCAAACAAAATACATTCTGACATAATAATAATAAAAATAAAAAATAGCTCTATAATACACTTATAAATGTATCAGTACTGCACACAATGAATTTTTTTAATTAATTCAACAAATTTAATAATTATCAGTGATTCCCACGGGCTTGTCATATACAAAATTATATGAAAAATTAACAATTGTTGTTGTTGTGTGTTTTTTTTTTATCCTGGGATACATAGGAAATACTATTGGAAGAAAAGAACAGAAACATGCAATACAAACAGAAGAATATTGACATTTATTACAAATGAAAGATCCCAGCATATAACAGAAGGGGTGCACTGCTTTCCATTCGAGATGGGAATCCATTTCAGGTTAAAGTTCGATATCTTTACCCTGAGCACGATGCAACCAAGTTTTACTCGGGATTCGAACCCGAACCCACTCGGTTAGAAGCCGAACGTCATATCCACCATATTGGATGGATAGCTAAATTAACAATTAACTTGATAATATTTTATGGTTTATAATTAATCTCTATCTGCCGATTAAAAGTTACGCTATTCGCTCTGCAATGCCACCGTTTTGCACGTATGCACGCGTATGTGGGGTATTGGGAAGAGAGAAAGGGAATAAATAAGCAAATCTTCTGAAATAAGTAAATCCTTCGCAAACACTGTCAAGATCACTTTAATGAATTCTAAAGCATTCGGCATAATTTTATGAGAATAACAGTGAATAGAATAGATCTATTTTAAGGGGACACAGTACGATTCAATTGACAAAAATCGGTCAAAAAATCAAATATAATTTTTCTAGCCTAAATTATTATTTATATACTTTTCTATAACCTCACGCGCGAAATTTGAAAACTCTTAACTTAAAAAACGCCGAATTATGAAAGCTTTTACATTCATTTTTATTCACATCCCTATGGCAAATCAGAACTTTAAACTTACTTATCTCAGAAAGGTAAAGTAACTAGTTTGTCTTCATTTAAAATGCTAAGGCTTTTTTTCTATTGTGCCTAATGCTTTGAATTTTTTTTTACCTATTGCTAATAGTACATGTAACAAAAGTTGGTATGCTTTTTTGAATCAAAGCAATACTTATGTTTTAAAAAACAATTGAAGTTAGAATTTGCAAATTTTTTAAGGAATTTTCAATAAGGATTCTTAAAAAGAAGTATTGTACAAATACCAATCGTGTTATCGCAAAACCCATATCAAATTTTGTTATACATTGTTGGAGGTACTTGTAAATCAAATTTCATGTGTGTACGTAAATTTTTGTAGGAGGAGTAGCATTTTAAAATCACTTCAGAAATTTTAGGTTTTTTCCTTAAAAAATTAAATAGCTAATTTTTTATGAAATTTTGAGCACAAAATCTGTTTTACATAGTATACGCACATAGAAAGCAACCAAAAAAAATTTTGAAAATCCTTAAATTAAAAATTTTTGCTTAAATCGTACCATGTCCCCTTAAAAAGCCGTAAATATACGTCCTGGGCAATTTACCACTGGCTGAAAGAGATGTTTACATACGTTGGTGGCACTTAAGAGTTTAAAGCAGTGCTTCTCAAACTTTCGATATTTGCGACCCAATAATCAATCACAATTTTCATCGTGCCCCTGTCCATACAATAACAATTTTTTGAATTCTATAGTACTGTACTTCGACACGCTACAGCTACAATACTGCCTTAAACTTTTGAGTCTCACCGGCGTATATAAACGTCTCACTCAAACAAAGCGTTAATTGCCCCGGACCTATATATACGTTTTTTCGAAGAACAATCATTTCTGTGCACTGCTATCCATAAAATTATTCTTTTGGATTTGGAATGCAATAAAAGGACCGTGAGACATGTTTGCGAAAGATTTACTTATTTAAGAGAATTTGTTTATTTATTCCTTTTCTTCCTCCCCCCAAAGCATCACATGCACGCACCTACGTGGAAAACGGAAGTATTGGTGAGCGAACTACATAACTTTTAATCGGAAGTTAAAGCATTAATTATAAACCGTACAAATGATCGAGATAAGAGTTAATTTTTGTATAAAATTTTATATATGACAAGCCCATAGGGTCACAGGTAATTATTAAACTTGTTCTTAACTTAGTATTTCTAAATTAATTATAAAATATATTGTGCAGTACTGATACATTTATAAGTACATTACATCAGTGTAAATGTGTATTTTATTTTGTATTATGTAAAAATGTATTGTGTTTGTTTACTTTCAGTAAATTAATTAATTTTTTAAATAATCTTTTGTTTTTGACTTTTTAATATGCTCGCTCCCCCCTTGTAGAGTTATCACGCCCCCTAGGTGGGCGCGCCCCACAGTTTGAGAAACACTGGGTTAAAGTCATACTGTAGCTTTCGCATCAAAGTTTTGTACTATCGAAATCAATGCATTGTTATTGCATGAAGGGGGCGGTGAAAATTGTGATTGAAATTGGATTACAAGTATTGAAAGTTTGAGAAGCACTGTCTTACGTTATTGGAATAAATACGCAAGTACATACAATAATCTGAATTTTTTAGTTTCTTATGCAATGGCTCTTAAAGGTGATGCTGATAGACAAAATTAATAATATGATTATTATTTCTTGCTCAATCAATTTTATTAATAATATTTACTATGAAATATTACATTAAAAATACTACGAATTTATTTATTTTTTTTAGTGAAAAATTGCAAATGTGAGAAATTAGGAATTTATAATTTGTGTCAGAGACAATATTTATGAATTTAAGACTTTGTTTTCCATATGTTCATGAAGAAATTAAAGTGTACAAATGTATCAGAATTTATTGAATTTATTTATCGCCAAGGATTATTTATTAAGAAAAAAAATTAATCTACAACTTAAGGCTGAGATTAATTTTAAAGTAGATTTTATAAATTTAATTTATAAAAGAGAATTTCAGGTAAGTCAATTTTAAACCAAGAAGCATCTTATTATTCAAATATTATGGGTATCTGTTTTGTTAAAATAGAAGTATCTATAATATTTGAATAATAAGATAAGATTTTCATTCTAAATTTTTTTATGTGATTTTCCATTCATATGGTTTAAATAAAAAAAAAATATTTTCTTAGAAAACTAGCTATATACCCTGAAAATTATTTATTTAATATGCATAATAATATATTTACTTTTTGGTACATATTTTAATGTATGTTTACATTTAGTTGCATTTTTCCAATTTTTTTTATTTGTTGGCGTGCATTTTGCTTTACATTTGCATTTGGTTACATTTTTAGAAAACATTTTTTTTTGTGGTATACATTCTATTGTGCATTTACATTGGGTTACATTCTTACACTGCTTTTCAATTTTTGGGTAGACATTTTTTTCAGCTTGCATCTAGATTGAAAATATTTATATCATATATAGCGAATAATTATAGTAAGCAATCGTCCCTCCATATTCTCACAAGTGATACTTAATATTTAATTATCTTGGAAATGAAGTGGGAGGGATTCAATATTGGAATCTTAGTTTTAACCAGCAGAATTAGCTTATTTTCATACTAGTGCACCGAAGTAACATCATCAGAAGTGTCAAAACATGATAGCGCAGTTTATAGTTAACTTTAAGATTATTTTAACACATTTTCTAAGATCCGCTTCCTTTCATCGAACTAGGCCGAGGGGACTTAATAGCTTAAAATGTAATCCACCAGTTCTAAGCAGCTTGGAATGAACTTCAAACCCACGCCCTGGCAGAAGCTAGACTTATTTTATTTAGTAACACTAGAGTAACTTTTCAGCCTGGCGTACTCTAACATAGGGCTTCCTTTCCCTTTCATTACTGTAAGCGTATAAATCACTTTAATGTCAAGTGGTTTATTATGAAAGGTGGAACTCCCCCTTTAAACCTAAAAGTCTCTCAGCTAATGAGGCTCGTTTATGAATATTTCTGCTGTCGTGTAAAGCCTAAGAATGATGGAATTGTAACAAACTAAACGATATTTCAGAGAAGGTCTGATTTTTAGGGAAGATGCCGCCCTTTAAGCCCCATTAATTTTATCTTAATATTCAAGCAACTTCTAAGTACTTAGATTTCAATAATACAGATGCGAACGAAGCTTGGTAAAGCCCATGCCATATCGTTTAGTTTGGTCTATTAATTCCTTTGGTCCTTCCTTTATCGGACTAAATAAATTTTTAAGAGCCTATTTCGAGTTGTTTGATATGAATTTTTTGTTCGTTTAATCTTAATTAATTCGTAACAAAATATTTCCGTTGTGTTTCGCACCTGATTTATTTTTATGGAAACATGAAACAAGGTAGACAAGGAAAATCATTTCAGTATAATGCACTTTCATATCTTCTGTTACAAAATAATGCATTCATACGTTCGTACATTGATACCATTTCTCATCAAATTCTCAATTCATTTATAAATATGTAATGGGTCTATTTGCGAACTTCCGACTAATCCTCTCGGGAAATTTACTTCTTTTAAATATTTTTCTATTGAAAAATTTTTCCCGAAGAAGGTGCGCTTTAAATAAATCAAGGCTTATATTTAAGCATTAACTTATAGGCTCGAGAGAGAGAGGTTAGGAGCTAGATGATAGAAGTTAGTGATTAACGTAAAGTAGTAGAAAGCTAGTCGAGAGTGACTCGCTGATTATTTGTTTAAAATTGACGATTGATGATTTGGTCAATTAGATATTTAAATTGGGATAGTGCTGGCTTGAAGTAGATTAGTTTAGAATGGAATTTCGATTATTTGGAACGTGTATTGCCGTGACGTTGCAAGAGTGATTCAATTAATAATTAAATACTAATTATCTCGTCTACCTTGCCTTTTCTCCAATACTTAATTTTAGGTGCATTTCCTAGGCTGAGTTATTGAGACTTGTTTGTTTGTTGAATCTTCTTATGAGATTAAGAATTAGGGATTATGGCTGATATTCATTCTAATTCTCGAACACTGATGGATGTTAAGAAAACATCTATCACAACTACTTACTTAAGGTATCCGACTACTTGCGACAACTTTTTTTGAAAAAAATGGAGATATGGTTGTTTTTTTTTTTGTGAATTTTAGTTTAATATAGTATATTTTAAGGAAAAATCTTAAAATTGAAAAAAGAAAAAAATTTATTATTAAAATGGGAAAAACCTGGTAAAAATGTACAAAAAATTACATAAACGGGGCCCACTCTGTACAAAAGATTTATGAACAAATTCTCAATTTTTCAATTTTGCTGTGTTATTTTGTTATTCGTGTTTGAAATGATCTTCAGGAGAAGAGATATTTTAATTTATACAAAAACTAGAGCATTTTATCTTAATGACTGTATGAAATTGCTTCAAAAGACAATGATTATATTTACATAAAGAACTGTAAATTTTGAAATAAAACAGTGATTGTTAAATCTGAGGGTCAAAACACTTTTACTATTGTACAGAACATACACCAAAAAATTCAGCAAATTATTTTCAAAACTGTTTCAGCAATCACTGTCCCCGTTTGAGT